CAATGCACAGCTTAAATGACAGGAGATGTTATGTGTTCTGACTCCTAACCTGCCACCAAAATCTCTGTCCTGGCAGCATGACAAAACACAGTCTCCAGATGTGCACCGTTATAAAATAAACTTCTTTTGACGACATGAAAAACTTTACTTTGAGACTTTCGTCTGAAGAAACTTCGTAAGAAAACGACCAAATAGAGACGTAAATGAAGTGAACTTGTCAGATTTTGGTTTTACACCAAAGAGGAAGATGGGGCGGCTGTGGCTCAGGGGTAGAGTCGGTCGTCTCTCAAACCGGAAGGTTGAGGTTCGATCCCAAGAGACACTTAACCCCAAGTTTCTCCCACTGCTTTGGCGGCCAAATGTTTACAATTCTACAATTCACTTAGCAGACGCCTTTATCCAAAGTGACGTACATCAGAGAGTAAGAACAACACTAATCCATGTGGGGTTAAGTGTCTTGCCCAAGGACACATCGGACATGTTGCTCAGCTAGGGATCGAACCCTCGAACCTTCCAGTTAAGAGGTGGCGACTCTACCAACTGAGACACAGCCGCCCCTGTTTATGAATGGGATAAGCTAATACTGATGGATACTCTACACAGCAGCCTCTACCATCAGTGTGTGAATGTGTAGGTGTGACCTGCGGTGTAAAAGCACTTTGAGTAATCAGAAGACGCTTTACAAGCCAATCCAAGTCCATTTAGCATTTACCAACAAAGTCTGCAAATGAGCCTCCTAAAAAAACCTAAAAAAAAAGCTGGAGATAAAAGCCAAATAAATTCCCAGTACCCCCCTGCCTGGGAGACCGGCCCTCGCACCTGTGACCAGGTAAACTTTCCTCACAGTCCTTAATGGACATTGTTGTTTACTGAAGACTCCCCACAGAGGAGACTAGCTGACCCATGTCTGCAACCGGTGAGTGGTACAAATGGCAAACATCTCTCGGAGTCATTATTTATGCAGGAATGCCCTTGGGAGTCTTTGCACTTGTTTACACAGTCACGGCACAGTCCATTCATGACGGCTCCGAGTAAATGAGCCGCTCGCTACCAATTTGTCCTGGACCACGAGGCTTTGGGGCTCGACTACCCACAGTTACCTTGGGGTGTGTGATTCTGTGTGTGTGTGTGTGTGTGTGTGTGTGTGTGTGTATATGGAAAAGAGGTTAGCGCAGCATTGCTGTGCTGTTGGGAACCGACCTGGAACTACGGACACAGCAGTCCCAAGGGTGGAAGGAAGCACAGTGTCACATTTGGAAATAAATGAGTGGGTGTTTTTTTTTTTTTATTATTAAAGAGGAAATGCCACGGACTTTCACCTTTGAAATGGGCTGTTTGTTCGCCTGAGGACGAGGACAGTTGGTCAAAGTTAGTGAGCAACACTGTCCCCATAAAACTAAAAAAAACCAACGCAGGAGTTTATGAGGTCGAGCTGAAAGGCAAAATAACAACAAAGTGAAATCTGGGACCTTAACGCAGTAAATGGATACAAACATGGACGAGGGTGTGTTTAAATTCACTTCACTCTGCTGCATTCACACGCTCCATGCATGGTCCCATTACCTTTGGAACTACAGACACAGAAGTCCCAAGGGTGGAAGGAAGCACAGAGCAAATCGCATTTGGAAATTAAGAGTGTCCATGGTCTTCAATCTTTGTGTTGCAAAGTTCACTACATCCTCCACAACAACAACTGTTTGCTGTGACATTAATCAGCGGTATTCAGAAAACACCTTCAACAATTGAACATCTCAGGCCAATAAGTGCTTAAGATTAGTGTGGTTACTTCTGTGCCTGTGCTGGAGAGACAGGACAGAGGAAGAGGAGGATAGAGAGAGATAGAGTGGAAAATGACATGTGAGAAAGGAGCCACAGGTGAGCAGAAGGCCTCGCTGAACAGGCCAGAGAGGGAACTCTCAGCTGGTGTCTAACTCTGTTTGTGTTACACTCTTGTGTTTTTGTTCATTGGTGGGAATTGTCTGTTTGGAGAGTAACAGTGCTGTGATAAAATGATTTCACCATGGGAACAATAAAGTCTAAAAAATCTACAAGGACTTCAGCCTCTGTACATAGGAAGTTCAAATGAGCCACTCAGCCACCAGGCGACCCAAAAGTGCATACATCTTTAGGCCTATTTAACAAATGATAAAAATATGATTTGACACATTTCTGCATCTAATTGGGAAAATAAGAGGTGTATTGTTGTGCAAAGCTCGTGTATGTCACAGTAATGAGGTTCGTTTGCCTCAAGGTCTAACTTCAGCAGATAAACTGAAATTAATTAGTGAAAGAAAGTACATTTGAAAAGATGAAGAATCAATCCTTGACTATTCTGACTACACAGCTTGTCTTGTTTCTAATTCAAAGCTGCCATCAACTGGCTGCTTTTGGCATTTTTTTGTGTGTCTCCTTTTTTCTCCTCCAGATTTAGGGCTGTTGTGCAATCGTGTTTTTATTCTGTATGTGATTGAAAAAAAGAAAGATGCAAAAGGACCAACAGCAGTGGAGAATTCAATAAAGCAGCAAAGTATTCAAGGAGAATGACTCCCCCTGTAGTTCTCAGGCTTTTCCTGCAGTGCCACAGTCAGACAGGGAAGAAATAAGAGAGAGAGGCAGGCTGACGGAGAGAGACAGAGAGAGAGAGAGAAGCAATGGGATAATTTAACAAGCTTCCTCCTAAACCACTCCAAAACCTCCAGAGTTTAATTGCTGGGAGGCAACATTATCCCCAGCAACACTGTGTCTGTCTTCTTGGCTGGGGATTCGGTGGGTACCTGCTGTATCCTCTCTCTCTCTCCCTCGCACAATGCAGCGCCCACTGAGCCATATAATCCTCTCAGGGCCCTCCTCTTCTGGAGAACCACATTCAATCCCGTCGTGACACGGGGAAAATCTCCTCTTCTCCATTTTTTTTTTTTTTGTGTGTCAGGGTGCGTGCTTCAAATAAGCCCAATCAGTAGGCGCTGTTATGTGCACGGAATGCTCAGCCATCGAGGAAGAGAGAGAGTGGAAAACAGAGGAAGGGTTCAATAAAAAAGACGTTTGATTTGCAGCTGTGAAATTTGGGGCTACTTTCCATTCCTCTGCAGGAGCTCTCCCGGGAGCCGCCATATTTCTGTTTATGTTTAAATGTGAATCAGTCAGACGGGCTGTTGGGTTTCCTGCTGAATCATCCCGTCAGGAGGAGAAAAAAAAAAAAAAGCGCTGGGATACTTTTTGAACCGGCTGCCTCGTATAGGAGAAGACAAGAAAACTAATGCCACTTTTTCTTTTCCCCGGCTTCCTCTTTCAAGTTGCCCTTGAAAAAAAGAATTCAACAAACGCACCTTTGATGCAAAGTGTGACATGCTTCGAAGATATCCTCGGCAAGTGCAGACACACACACACACACACACACACACACACACACAGACACACACACACACCAGATTATCATTCCAATGAGTCAGTCCTGATGTCTTTTACTGTCTGCATATAGCGCAAGCTGCCGAGACACAAAGCGCTGAGGGGCTCATTACACAAAAATGGCAAAAAGGAAGAAAAATTGTGTTTCTTTGGGTGTCCAGTGGATTGTAACTTAAGTCAATATGGCATTTAAAGACCTGCTGAGACATCTTTTAATTACAAGATGAGATAAATAATGAGAAAGTGCCGGGTGCAGCGTAGTGAGAAAAAAAAAGATTTCTGTGCTTTATTAATTTCACTTTTTCCGTCTTTGCAGGCCGAGAAAATCTTTACTTTGTACTCTTAGTTTTTTTGTTTGTTCTCGGGTGAGATAGTTTGTTTCATTAAATCTCATTTTTTTGAGACTGTGTTGCTCTAGTTCTTTCCCCCTTTCATTACTACTGTCTTCTGGTCGGTGAGGTCCGTTCAGTATCATGTGGTGTCAGTCTGTTTTCACAACTCGTCAATTACAGAAGCTTGGTCCACACTTCAAAAATACAAAGCTGTCGGCGCTCCTCCAGCATCCTCTCCTGACCCCGTCCTCCACCATTTATTGTTTTTTTTTTACATGCCATTGAAGAAAGATGGTGTTGCAGGGAAAGGCGTCAGACTTAAAGACGACTTTTACTCCTTTGTAGGAAGCTGACTCGGACAGCTTTACATTGAGATTCTGCCACAGCGCCATGACTCCACCTTTCTACTAACAGCCTGTCCAACTCACAGAGCATCAGCGACAACATCAGCCCTGATTCCATTGTTTCCTATTGGAGTGTCCTAACTTCCCGCAGGCGACGCAGCAGATGCACAAGCAGTTTGTCGCTCATACTGAAGGACGAGGAAGGAAGGGGCTGTGCGAGTCACTGGATCTCGCTTTCCTCACTCAGCATAACTTGTAAGACTTTTTTTTACAAAGTGGAGATAACGTTGCATTAATAATATCTTGTTCTGACTTGTACCAACACCGGAGAAAAAATAATAATTTGGCTCCCCGCAAGCTGTTTTACAAACCTCTGAGAGTTTTGATTTGAGTCAACTCTAAACATCCATCTGTCCACCTTCAATGCAAAAGCACTAGATGTCATACTCTTTGATAGGAGGGGATATTAAAACTCACAGAACAGAGAATTTAACAGATGCAGTGTGGACAGTGAGCGTGCAATCGTGCTTGATGCGACACGATATCCAACGCCGATAGGACACAGGGTTATGGACTGAACTCTGCCACGGCATCATACTGGTGTCCCATAAGTCTCATTTTACATTATGTGTTGTAGAAGACACAGCGTCATTCATCCTGTATGTTTGAACTTGTTTGTGGTGTCTGTATTGTAACCCGATTTATATACAGGTCACACATTAAGTATATACGAGTGTTGTTGTTGAAGCCGTTTGGATTTCTTTGTATCTGATGAAGACCTAGAAGGACGCAACAGGTGATTTCTCCTGAACAGTGTGCACACGCTGTCAGTTTTATCCTCCCTTTGTTGCATGGCTACAACATGAGCCTTGTCTTCAGGTGTGAGGTGTGAATGCACTGTGAGTGTGAGTCATCCTACCTGTAAAAGGGCTGGAGGTCAACGGTCAGAGGGGATGGTACTGGGAGGGGGAGAAATCACTTGTTGCAGAAGCTGAGCGTGAAGTCCAGAGTCAGCGCCCCCTTAAAGCGATCAGAGTCTGCAAGAGAACAAATACAAGAAAGTGTTTTAGGGAGTGAAGGAAGCTCAGTTATTTATTTGATCAGCAGTGCGACAAAAATCATCATGAGTGTTTTATCTTATTATACGTGTAAAAAAAACAAAATAAAGTCATTAGGCACAAATAGGTAATAAGTGGAGTCATAAAATTAAAACAAGATGAGAAAATCAATAGAGGATGTTGTGTTTTTATGCAGCAAGTCAAATCTTTCTTGGATGTTTTTTCTGCACTTTTTTTTACCTTTTTTGCCTCTGAGCTCATTGACTTCAAAAGATGACTTCAGTCTTTAAAAAACATGTTTCACAAATGTCTCGGTCGTTGTCTGGAACATCTGGGAATTGTAGTTTTATGGCAGACATTACTCAAAACAGAGGATATGGAAACATATCCAAAAAAAATTACTTATTACTATCCAATGTAGTAATATCAGCACATGTCTGTAATAAAAATCAGCCGATATGGATGGTCACATGATATGCTATTATCAGCTGGGTGATTAAATCGGTCGGGCTTCTAGTTTAAATGACGAGGAACAGGACCCAAGTGCAGAACTCGACATTAAAAATGTAAACCAAAAGGCAAAAGCTTACTTTTCAAAGATCCAAAACAAAGTTCATTAGATGTAAAACACAGGTAGGTCGACGTATGAATTGACAACACGAGGGAAGAAACTCAGAGACCTCCATTGGGGTCGTCAGACGAAGACACAGGTGAGGACAGTGAGGACGATCAACATGAAGTGAAACCAGACGAAGAGAGGAAGACAAGAACTACAAAATAAAACAGGAAACACAACAGACGGGTCTCTGAAATAAAACAATGCATGGGCAGGGACAACAGTTGAAATGAGAGATGACACAAAAGGCAGTAATTACAAAATAAAAAAGGAAACACTTAAAAAATAAGACGAGAGAAATGCACACAGGGAGAAGAGAAACACGAGGATACATATAAGAAAATATAACAGGAAGTACCAGAAACTCATACTAGAGATTAAAGCAACACAAGGGATTACTACAAAATAAAACAGGAAATGGAATCTTTACACTGAAATGAACAAAATATAAAACTTAACAGGAACGATTGACGACAGATAGAAGTAGAAGAGTGTGTGTTGGAGTCTTTTAGTCAAGAAAATGTGAGAATTTGTCTAAATTTATCCCTGAAAACTTCCATAAAACGTCTTGTTGCTGATACATTACAAAGACAGAGGAACATAATAAAAAGACGCTGCAGCGATAGAGAACTTTGTAATCATTGGGTATAACGTCTGCACCGGGTTCAGAGCAGTCGCCGCTCACATCCATAAAAAGAAAAAAGTGGAACCCTTTCCCATCCAGCTCTGCCATGAGGAATAAGACGGCGAGGTGGAAGGTTAGCTCATAATCCATAACAGATAGTTAAAGCTTGGCATCGGATCCTTATGAAGATTGTAACGGGCCTTGGCACGAGCTCCCAATCCCACAAATCAAACACTGCGAGGCTTCATTTGTAGTCCAGCCATGAAGGTTGTTTCTGAAATCTTTTTGACGGGAAAATGTGGTCAGCTGCTCGGCCCCCACCTGCTGCTGCTGATGCTTTGTGTGTTTTTTTTTTTTTTTCTTTTTTTTTTGATTTGTAGCATCGTGGCGGTTCTGAATGAGAGCTGTTTTTTGAAAAAATAAACACATTCTGCAACACAGCGAGCCATTCAAGTAACATTAGATTATATAAATTGTCAGTAATGAGGCACCGGGGACGGCATCTGCGATCTGCAGAGGTCAACCGGAACATTCTGCTTCACTGCTGAATAAAATGCATCCTGAGAGCGATTTAACAGCCTTTTTACACGAGCAGGTACATACGAAGAGACAAGCGGAGGTCCAAAAGGGCGCGGCGGGCTTGTTGTAGAGGTCAAAACACACTCGGAGAACGCACACACACGCACACACAACAGTGATACACAAACACTGCTGACAAGAGGAAAATATGAGGACTTCTGAAGCGCTGTAAAATGTATGAAGAAACGGATGTGAGGGTCATTTTACTGAGCAGCACCATTAACATCGCTGCCCTTGTCTGAACTGGAGCTCAGCTCAGTCACTCACACACACACACGCTGAACATGTATGCACACACACACACACAGCAGCATTTCTCCTCTTTTTACATTTTCGCCCTCGGAGAAACGAGAGGTCGACATTTTAACTGCAGCAGCAAGGAGATGGCTTCCTTTCACCTTGACGGGCATATAATGAACATTTTTCATTTCGGGCTTAGCTTCACTTACAGAGTCAGTCAGCTATTTTCTCTTTGAACCTTCTGCTTTTTTTTTCTCTTCCGTCTTCCTGACATTTCCCTCTGTGGTTTTGCCAGGATGATCTTCACACTAAATTTGTGCCCCCCTTTTAAAGAAATAGGATACATTTTCTGTTGATTTTATTTTTTTTTCTGTCTCAAAGAGCTCATTTCCATACAGGTTCCCCAGTATTACACAAATAGGCCTACGGTGCAGCGTGAAACACAAACAATATGCTAATCGCACCTGTTTCAATTAGAGCGCCCCGGCGTCCATGAAATCCATATCGGTATTTGCTCATTGTTTTTTTTGTTTTTTTGTTTTTTTCTCATTTTGCCTCCGAAAAGAAAACAGTCCACTTTGAAGGAAAGTGATAAAATGTTTGAATATTTGCATTTCATTAACCTCCATGTGAAGCTCACTCAGGAGCGGTCACAAAGGTGCAGCGCCTCACCATCAAGTCCTTAGAAACTAACAGAGTCAGAGGGGGGGTGGGGTCAGTGTGTGGTCACTTCACTATTTAAAGATGTAGAATATTTTAATTCATTCAGTTTGGTTCTTTTGTAAAAGTCAACAATAAATGTATGATTCATAATATATGATGACAATATTACGGACCACCTCCTAGTTATGCTGCTATAGGCTTAGACTGCTCTCTCTCTCTCTCTCTCTCTCTCTCTCTCTCTCTCTCAGATATCACACTGTTTGTATTCTCCACTGACTTCCTCCCCTTCCTCCCCCACCAGCCAAAAATTCCTTACAATGTCATATCTAGGAAACTTAAAAAACCAAAAGTCCAAACAAGACTGAAAAATATTCTTAAAAATGTCAACTTAAAGAAAAAAACTCAAAAGGTTCCAAACAAAACGATGAAACCAAAACAATTGACAAAAGTTAGCTGGAGTTATGACCCCTTTAATGTTTCTCCATTTTGACTTCAAACATTGCCATTCACATTCTGTATCATGTGTCACAGCTGTTTCACATGAACCTCCATGTCTGAAAGAACTTTAAGTCCAAGACAAATTTCCCCTGGGAGACAATAAAGTGTATCGTATCATATTATAGATCTATGTATCTGATGTGTTTGTCCTTTTCTTTGTTTTTTAAATCATACCTGTTCATCAGAGAGGAGGTTCATGTTTTTGTTCCTGCAGATCAAGTCAAAGAATAAAGGAATGAAATATGCAGCTATAATATAGAATATGAAGTGCTGAAACGTAGGACTCAGTTTATTGTTTTTCATGTTTGAATATTTCTCTGTAGTGTTTGCTTTGTTTTCCGCTCGGCCTGTTTGGTCTCACCTGACAGGAGAACGTTACTGTGTTCATACACTTCAGTGTTTTTAAGGTGAACATTATTACTGAATAATAAAATGAAATCTTTTAGAACGAGGAAGGTTAGAGTGTTCTGGTTTTTTCATCCGCTCCTCCCAGATGATGGATGAACGTTACTAGGTATTGTATTCGCGTTATAACCTGGGATCAGAAAAAGAAATGATAACAGAGCAGACTCTACTTTATGACTTACAGAGCATGCAGCGATGATTTATGATCCTTAAACGCGAGAGCAGACTTTAAACTAAGCCCTGGAAGAAGAAGCAAACGTGCATGAAGTTAACAAACTTAAAAAAAAACAGTCAAAACCAAAAAAAAAAACATCCTCGGAACTAAAAAATCCAAAAACCTGTATTGAAAAGGGAACCGAAACAGGACCATGCAAACACACTACTGCCCACATAGGGGGTAGGTGTGGGGGTGGGGGTGGGGGGTGTGTGGGGGTAGAGTTGGCAGGGTGCATTCCAAGACAGCTGGTGAAAAGCGGGTGTGCTCTGGCTGCTAGAAGGAGCAGATTCAGGTGACATCTGTGCCTCCTGTTGCAGCGCAATAGTAGAAACACTAAAAGTGAATTACAACATTAATGATAGTGCTCTGCAAGCTGTCGTTCCATATTACGCATCCATTATTCCTTGCATGGGTACTCAGAGGCATCGTGAAGGAAAAGGGGCCCCCTCCACCACCTCCACCACCAGCACTGCCACCGCCACCTCTACAGGAAAAAAAGCCGCCTCGCTGTGAAAGGAGCAGTTGTTGAAAGGATCGCTTCTTTATAGACCTTCCCCTCGCTATACCATGTCACCGCATGGCACAGGCCTGACTGGATGACTGATTCTCTCTCTGTCTCCTTTTCCATCCCTCACTTCATCTTTCAAGCAAGCAAACCCCCCCACCCCCCCGCCTCCACCGCCGCCGCTGCTGCTGCTATTTCAGACAACATTTGTTTGATCTTGCCGCCCTCTACAGCTGAATGAAATCAATCTGGGAGAGATGTCATGTGTGAGCAGAAATGATTGGCCGCAAGAATAACATGTATTTGAGAACATGGAATCCCGTGCCCTCTGCCCCCCCCTCGATTGTGAGGGGTTGGGACTCACGCCTCATGCCTGCACACACGCAAAGACGACGGCCGGCGCATCCCCCCGACGGGGCATCACATAGACATCTTCCAAGCTGTCACCCATCCCCAGACTTTCAATAACTTCAAATCCCCCCCCCCTTGAAAAAAACCTGCAGAATAAAGGCAGAGTCGATCACTCATAGCTCTCCTTCACTCTTTTTCTCTTTCTCTTTCTCTTCGGGGAAATAACAGCCGAAGGAGAAAAAACAAAGTCAGGATTCCATCCCCTCTGCCGCAGCAGAAA